AGGGCCCCTGGTCTTAACAGAAAGAGGATGGGCTGTTTGCCCTGTTTGTGGACTGGGCTCCCACAGTTCTGCATTTTCTCTCTGATGGGCCACCTGGCTTTACTCACCTAGACAGCCTATCTGGATGGTCTCAGCCTACTCGCTTCTGGAGCCCATGACAGGGAGGTGTGGCACCGGGCTGTCCTGAGACGTGATGTCATCGGCCCCACTGCCTTGCACAGGTGTCAGCTCCCATGTTAGTATGTATCTGAGCTCCTCCACCCAAGTGCCCTAGGAGGAAACCCAGAGCTCTTGGCTTCCCCTTCTCCTTCACATTGAATCAATTACTGAGCCCCACGATGATTTTACTTACTAAACATTCATAGCAGACTCAGCGCAGCGTACTTACCAGATCCTTCTGTTCTGGGCTTGGCTGGACTGATTTCCAGCTTTCCTAGACCTGAGGTCTGGGTGTAAGCCTCTCAGTCTCCCCTGCAGGCCCCCTTCCTCTTTCTCCCTTGCTCTGCTGACCCTCTGCAGGGACACAGACAACTCCCACACTCAAGGGAGCAGCAATACTGGGCAAGCACCTGGACCCCCAGTGGCTGGGTGGAACTGAGCCCCTCCCCACATTCAGGGTTCTGGAAGAACCACATGCAGCTGAATTAGCTGGCTGAAGGGTGGAAGGAAGCTCTTCTAATGCTGTTTTCTAGTAGCTTCCATTTCCTTGAGTGTTGGACAGCAGCCAGTGGGAGCAGTAGGCCGGTGGACACAGTGGCAAGTGGCACCCTCTAATGTTACACTTTCCAGGCAGGCCTCAGGTATGGGGGCCCTTGGTGCTTGGCCACAGCCAGTGTGACAGCCCTCAGGCTGGGGTCTGAGCCCCTTGGTCTTGATATGACAGCAGTCTGGAGGTTTCTGCAGGTCAGGCGCGCATGCTTTCTCTTCGGGCTGCTTACCCACGGCCCACTCTGTCACACTCTATTTCTGCTTCCTATTTTCTTGCTGCCCTGGCTGCTCTTTGACTGTTACGCGGCTCCTTCGGTTGTCAGTGGTTGCTGTCTGCACTCAGGTATCTACCTCTGTTGGAACAGCATATCAGATCCAGGATGCTGTTAGAGCACCTGACACTGCTCAGAAGCCAGGCACCCTGAAGGTCAATCAGGAACTGGGCACAGGGTGTGGCTGCGATCACCCAGCTATAGATATCCCGTCCCGCAAAGGCTCTATTACTCCCTGTCCAATATCCACATTTCGTGTGTGTAACTGTGGCAACTTCTATGAAAAGATGGAGATTATTCCCAGGCCCCTCGGCTCGTGTCAAGGGTATATCTGTCACTTGGACCCACAGCTCGCTGAGAAATGATGGCACAGCAGCTCAGAGCCTGTGCATATCTGCTGGCTTCTGGCCTGTTCAGCTACACCGAGAGCAGGGCAGGGCAGTATGTTGTATAAGGAAACACATGAGGTGATCAGCCTGGTGCCCCAGCCACTGACCAGCCAGCTGACAGCTGTGTGAGGGAGATGTGCCCCCCACCCCCCGCCGCCCCGGGGCAGCCCACCCTTGGTGGTCCTGCCAGTTGATTATAACAAGAACAGCTGTGTCTGACCCCAAGCAGAATCCCTCTGCCGGGAGGCTGACTCTGACATACTAAACAGTTCTTTTGTCATAGGGTTTAGGGCAGCTTGCTACTCAGTAGTAGTTGACTAATGTCCACACTTTAGTTTCTAGGTCTTTCTAGTACATGCTCAGTACCTGTGAGCAACTGAGTCTGAGAAGTCTCAGCTAAGTTTTCAAACTTCAGTTTGTGCCCCAAAGGGCAGGTGTCAGGCTTCCCTGTGGGAAACGATGAGCAAAGAGAATGAGCTCCCTTGCCTGAGCTCAAGGGCTGCATTTTAACTCTCAGCATTAATACAACATTCCCAATTAACATAAAACACTTGTGATCAAATATATGAATAATAAAGCCTTTTTGTAGTAACAAAAACTTGTCTGGTGGCTGATTAATCAAAGGATGGGGATGGGCTAAAGGCAACTGTAATGTCAGACCATATGCTTACATGGGAGTAAAAAAAGCAAATGTTGACGAGCTGAATGACAGACCATGGGAGTTGGCCAGAGTTACTGTAGTGTCCACACACATTGGGGCAGTCACCCCTTGGCCATTCTGTCAGCACTCACGGGAGTACTGACCCACCAGGCTGTGATGTCCTGGAGCTGGTGTCCAGCAGAGGAGGCAGACATGCTCCTCCTTGGGGACCTGCCATTCTGATGGGGTAGAGGGAACACAGAAATAAACCATACATTATAATGGTATAATGGGTGGAATTGTATTTCCCCAAAAGATGTTGAAGTCCTTGCTCTGGCTGCCTGAATGTGGCCTTATTTGGAAGCAGGGTCTTGGCAGATGTCAAGTTAAGATGAAGTCATTAGGGTGTGCCCAATCCAACAGTGTCCCAGGAGAAGAGACAGAGAAAGAACTCTGCAGTAACCGAGGCAGAGGTTTGAGAGTTGCATCCACCAACCACACAATGTCAAGGGCTGCCAAGAACAGGAGCTTACAGGACGCTTTCCCTTTCAAACCAGACAGCAGGGCCCGCTGACACCTGGAGGTCAGACTTGGACACTCCAGAACTGTGAAGAAGTGGTCACTGTTTTAGAGCACTGGATCTGTAGGACAGTATGAAGCTTTAGGTACTGATGTAAATGCTAGAATAAAGGAGAGAAACGGTGTTGAGGACCAAGTTTGAAGTTCAAACAGAGCCACTGGCTTGAAGTGCACGAAAGGGATGGTAGGAGCATGCCAGGTACCTATGAGAGCAAGTGCAAAGGCATGCCAGGCTTCCCAGGAGAAGACCTGGGAGAAGAGGTGTGAGGAAGGGGAAAGAAAGACAAGGTCGTCTTACAGGTCGTGAGAAAGCAAGTTCCAGGAGGATTGTGAAGGAACACACAGTGTGTGTGTGTGTGTGCATGTGTGTGTGTGTATATATATATATTCTTACGACCACTTAAGTTCCTGTGTGGAATGTGGGAAACCAGCTGGGAGGCACAATTTACAAACATACCTTAGATGGAGGTAGCTGGGGGGGGGGCAAGGGGAGGAGGGGGAGCCGTTTGGTTTTGGATGTTCCTGGTAGTAGAGGAAAGGGGCGGACAAATGGAGGGGGGAGGGCAGGTCCAACTTTCAAGATTTGGGCCTGAGACACCGCAAGTTTTCAAAACAAGGGTTGGTGCTTTTCTGCAGTACTTAACGTGCGTGTCCACACACACACACACACACACACACACACGCTTTGAGACAGGGTTTCTCTGTGAATTTCAGGCTGGCTTGAACTGGCTGCATGAGCTGGGATTCCGTTCGTGCACCACCATGCCCGGCTTAATGCACTGGCTCTAATCACTGGTCATGATCTCCACATACGTAAGTGCTTAAACCACCTCAGAACCGTTAACAATTCATCTATACCACCACCGCCGGAAGGCACCAAGTACGTACTCTATGCACGCTGGTGATTATTTGAAGGGCCAAGCACTCAGAAAGCAATGCTTGTTCCTCCGCGATGCAGACCAGGAGGGGAGGTTTTAAAAACGCGCTGCTCGGTTGTGCTCCACTCGGGGGCAGGTAGACCCGCTGCAGCGTCCCGGGCTGGGCGCAGCAAAACGCACAGGAGCGTGGAACTGCTCCGGACTTCCCCGAGCGCGCGGCCAGCGCCGCATTCCCAAGCACGCGATCCGGGCCCCGGCTTGGCCGGTAGGTCCCCGGGCTCCTGCACACCCTCCGCCGGGCGGACCCAGACGTCCGCGTGATCTGAGCACACAAACCGCACTACCGCGCGGGCAGAGGACCGCGAGCACACGGCCGCCCGTGGGAGCACCCGAGTGGCCGCCCCACCGAGGAAAGACGGCAGTTTCGTCTTCCTCCCGCCGTCCCGAATCCCCATCTGCACGGAAACTTCCACCCAGCCACCTGGCGGCTCTGCGCACGCGCGGCGCGACCAGGCCCACAGCACGCATGCGCGCACGGCCTCCAACCCCCTCGGGCTCCCTCCCTCCCAGCCTTGTCTGGTCTGAAGCGCCCGCGCCGCCGCCGCCGCCGCCTCCCCGCGGCCCCGCTACGCCGCGGCCCTCGGTGCGCAGTGCGCAGGCGCGGTAACCAAGGCGGCGCTGTCTAGTGAGGATTTGAAATCGCCGCGCGTGCGCACTGCGCCGCGGCCCGCTGGGAGGCCGCCCCTCAGCC